CTCCTGGTTGTTTCTGAAAGAGGTTGGGGGAATCCTTTTTTATAGTACCCTAGCCATGTCAAAAAAATCGGTACATAATCAAAAGAAAAAAGCCACTCCTCGTACGGTTCGTAATGTACAAAGTAGAAGATGGTAAGTCCACAATTCAGTATAATTTCAAGACCATCACTATTATTTTTTAAAAAAAAAAAATATTAAAAATATACTTCTTTATATCAGGGGAACCGTTCTTTTTCCAACGTCTTATAATGAAAACACCGTGTTTTTCTGAAGAAGAACTTCTAGGAAATCACTTAAGTTACCGTGAAAAATTCAAATCCTTATTCCCAAACCAATTCGAAAGTGAAATATCTAGACTATCTAACACAGCCATATCCCAAGAACTCCGCACCTCTAACGCCTATAGAGAAATCATAAACAACATTTTAAATCAATTAAATAACAAAAAACTTCACGAGCTAATCCTTCATCAATTAATCTCACTAGAACGTAAAACACCATCCATTGACCCACATCACGTACTAACACTTGATAAAGATCAATACAAGACCTATGACATTCTTTGTAATTCTTGGGGACCAGAAACAGCAGGGAAGTATCCATATTTCTTTTTAACTGGGTCTGCCGGTACGGGTAAATCATACCTGCTACATATGATAGTTAACTTCCTAAAATCAAAAAGAATCAACTACCTCGTAATTGCACCAACCGGCGTAGCCGCACAAAATGTCGGTGGTAATACCATCCATTCAGCATTAAAAATAAGACAAACGAACTCATACTACGAAACCTTATCAATTCACAACCAAAATACAAAAGATTCCTTAAGAAAAATCGAGGCAATAATAATAGAAGAAATATCTATGGTCTCTAGTAATCTATTCTCATTTATGAGTAATATGTTCGGTTCACTCCATAGTAACTCTAAAATCTTCGGAGGAATCCCTGTACTTCTTATAGGCGATCTCTTTCAATTACCACCAATAAACACCCATCATGCTTTTTACTCACCAGTTTGAAGAAGTTTTTTTCCCTTATTCTTGACCCAACCTAAATGACAAAAAAACGATCCTAATTTTTATAACCTACTTCAAGAACTAAGATTCGATCGCTTATCCGAAGCTTCGAAAAGAATGATTATTAGTAAAATAAACAAAAGATAAAGATTATATATGAAAAATCTACTTTCTAACTAATTATTCAAAGATAATATTACCTATATTAATAATAAACTAGTAGAATTACATAAC